CAGGTAGTGTAGGCTGGGCGCTGGGCGCCAGACAGAGAGGAGCGACTTTGGATACTGTGTTGGTGTGGCCTAAGGGCTTGAACATTGGCTCATCACTTTCATTGTATTGCTCATATTTGGATGGGACCTCGGTGTATTTCTGCTCTTTGCTTGTACACGACTACCTGGACATCTGTGTGATTTCGCAACTTGGTTTTCTGTATATCGTTCCCACTCATATTCCCTGCATAATGTACTGCGAATTCTCTAGTGCCGGGTGGCAGTCTTTGAATCTCATCAGGGCTCAGGCAGTCAATAGCACGTCTAGGGCGCCACCCCTTGTGCAACTCGTTTGGTGTCGATGGCACTAATTACCTGAGGCTTGTGCTCATCCCAATCTATTTGGTGTGTTTAATGTACGTGCGGAGCACTTGCTGTAGCGATTTATTCATCTGTTCAGTCTATCCATTAATCTTTGGGTGTCTACCTATAGTAAGTGTAGACACATAGACTTTCATTTGCTCATGTGAACCTAATGTCTCTACCACTAACTACAGTTAGAGGATGACCATAATATTTAACCCAATTATTGAAAAAATTACAAATGACTAAATCTGTCTTTGCCTTTGATGGCAGCGGAAAAAAGACCGCAACACTTTTATCGATTCTACTCTTGACCTTAGTATCCACGAAGTGTAATGACCTGCAAAAACACAGTCTGAGAACCCTGTTGATTTCTGAGTTTTGCCGCTGGAATGTGTGTTGTGCTGAGATTTCCGCTTTCTAGCTGCGATTTCTAAGTCTGTGTGTGTACGTGCTTGCTGGTTTCCTTGTGCCTGTCTGATTGCATGACCCGCAGGGAGCCCCTCACGGCCGGTACTTACGTGTGGCAGTGACGTCGAGGGTTGCAGCGGGGATCATTCAAGAAGTGTAGGCTAGCACTCAAGTAGCAGCAGTGTAGACTCGTGTATCTTAGGATAGTGCCAAATCCGGAGTACAAATACACAAGGAAATACAATGCCTTGTAATTGCAAAAGGAGATGAATGAACTGGAGAGGAGAGAGAGACCAAAGAAGGAAAGAAAAAGAAGGAAATAAGAAGTATAGAAGAAGAAGAAGAAGATGGCAGATCGCCACTGATGTCTCATTCACCATCCTGATTGTGGGAGACAAACGAACGCTGGCATGAACTGTCAGAGAAGAGATCTTGGAGGATTATCCCCTGGGATTCTTTGGCATCCCTTGCCTTTCAGTTCATGTATGGACTGCTATAGCTGGGACCAGCCATTGCTGGTTCCTATCTCAGGGCTGCAGCAGTTGTAGAATTTCCTGCGTTGTCACTTGTAGCAGCAGCGGAATCTGCACCTGTTGCAGGTCCTGAGAGACTGGCAACCATGCTCAACGAAGAAGAAGAAGAAGGGGAAAAAGTATGGAGAAGCGCAAGGACAGAATGGTTAGCAGCAAGAGGTAGGGGAAGGGGATTTGAGATCTGGGCCTGATGTAGATTTGCCATCTGCACCATCTGGTCACGGTGCTCCTTGGCCATGTCTGCCATTTGAGTCCGCAGCTGGCTCATCTGGTCGAGTAGTTGGGACTTGATACTCAGAAGCTCATGGAGCAAGTGGCAATCTATGAGGGCACGTACATACTTGACCAGATCTTTTCTGACATCTGCATCAGGCAGGGCCGAGACTGTTTTGAAGACGACTTCATGACCTTCAGTGGCGCTTAGCCTCTTCCTCCTCCTCCTTGGCCAGTTCCTTTTGGTAGAGGGCCTGGTACAACGATTTATCCTCGTCATCTGCTGCATCCATCTGAGCCTTCCGAATCTCAGAAAGCTTGGCTGTGCCATATTGGAAAGAGTTCTGACTCCACGTTTTAGTCCGGTCAGACCAAGTACGAGATCCCCTCGACTGTAATCCGATCGGCACCGTCAAAGTACAGCGAATCAGACGACAAGTGATGACATACAACAATGGAGAATTGATTGGTGTATAAGGTGCAGGTCAAGCATCGGATTGTGCGTTATCAGTCCGCAAACATCTCAGTCGAGATCCCGTTGGCAGTGAGTGCTCTAACCAAAAGGAAAACAACGAATTCCAGACAGAAAGGAGAGCGACACTGCGTCAACAGATTATGTCTAAGGGGCCCTTCTTGTTTGGGCCTGGTCCCACTGAGTCCCAATGGGTCCCACGTAGGCTGCAACCAAGTCCCAACCAAGAGGAGTACCACAAGGTCCTACTTTCTGCCTCTAGCGTACCGAAAAATGGAATTCGACTTTGCAGAGAGAACCTACAACTACATTCGCTCAGAATGATTAGACAAAGCACTGTAGAAAGATATGGCATTCAAAGCAAGATACTTCATCTCTCCATCCATCAGGTCAGTAAGCAGTTTGCACACCAATGCAAACAATGAAGGCTTCAGTAGGAAAGAGACCCAGAGGTACCCCAACAGGACAAACAATACCATGCACGCACACATGGGCAACCCTTAGGTGCATGACACTTACCTGAGTGGCCCGGACTCTGAGATGAAGTATAACTCACCCCCCTTCCTCATATGGTCCTCCTAACCCTATTCGCTACCTCTTCACTAGTGTCCTATCATGTAGGAGGGTCAGACTCCAACACCAAAGTCCAACGCGGGATCCCCCAACGCGGGATCCCCCGCTGATGCTGAAGAACAAAGTAGTAACTTCAAGTCCGCAGATGCAAAATGGCTACCTCCCTCAAGTGCACCTACTTGAGGGAGGCCCTTAAGTCGCCAAGTGTCTCCCCTAAGTCAGATTCCAGGTGCGAGTGCCTCTCACTGTCGCCTCTCTCAAATTTGTGAAGTCCTCTTGATGTGTCTCGCTTCCACAAGCTCGCTCTCAATCAACCTGGTCAGGACCAGTGTGGACCCAACACGACCTAACCAGGTGGGGGCAGCTTCACCAATCCACGCTGCCCCACTTCCCACTTCGGACCAGCTCTAACCCTAAGTGGTCAGCCCTAACGACTTAGGTTAGGGTTAGGGTGGATAAGTCAACTCTCACCTGCAAGTACAATCTGCTCTAGTACCAATGTTATGATCCTGGCCAATTTTGAAGTATCCATTCATGAGGAAGTAGAATGTCATCCAATTTCAGAAAGAAATAAACGAGTTTGAGAGAGAAGAGAGGGAAAGAAGAAAACAAAGAAATGAAGAAGAAGAAGATGTACACCAGCAAAGAGCAATGATAATTCCCTTCTTCTTCGCCAACCACTCTCCTCCTCCTTATCTCCTCCCCTCTTATTCAAACAAGAAATAATAATAATAATGTTGAATGGATGAACCAGAATCAATGTCCGGATCCCTCTTCTACTGCAGGTATCACATGAGGTCCACCATAGCCATGGCTACCCTTCTCCTTCCTCCTCCAAGGTCGAGGCTATGGCGGACTACCAGGGCATTGTGCTGCTGTGCAATGGACAACACAAAGCAGCTATGGCTGGTCCTGTTCAGGCTGCCATGCCTGACTCTGCCTCGAAGCTTCTTGGTGCAGCTCTACCCCAGTGGGGCCTTCCAGATGTAGTGTCCACCAAGGGGATGAAGATGGCATCCACCATAGCGAGGTAAGTACCTCTGGCGCTTCCCCCTTCCTAGTCCTTTTCTTCCTCCTCCTCCTATCCCTGCTCCTTCCCCAGCAGCGCTGCTCCAGCCAGCGCTCCAACCAGTGTGTCGCCAAACTTTCACACCGAGAATGAGGAGGAGCACTTCGCTCCTCCTGGAGATATAGCGGCCTGCTTGCCTCTTGGGCGGTGACTTCCTAGGCCGTGCTGCCTCCAAGCAACCGGTACCTCCTCCCTTTTGGAGGGAAACATGATTGCAGTCTCTGGTATTTGCCTGTACAGGCCCTAGACTCAGACTGGTTGGACTGGTACCCGCCTGGACCTAGCCTACAACTACTGGGCCTCTAAAAATGCCAACTTTCGTCTTCTTCTGCTCGGCCTCGAGTACCTGGCACATCTACCTCTGCTTGGTGTGGTACCGGCCTACCTGCTACTTGAGTGTTTTCCCGCTGCTCCAAGTGTCATGGGCCTCTATCCCGCCAGTGTTTTCCCTGCTGCAACCCTTGATGTCATGGCCACAGGTAAGTACCGGCCTTTTGGGCCTCCCGCCCGGTCACACACACACTCGAACCGACAAGCACGGAGGCAGGCACGCAGACCAGCAAAAACACACACACTCAGACTTAGAAAACTCAGCAACAAGCGGGAAACTCAGCAAGGCATACATTCCATTGACAAAACTCAGAAATCAGATGTGTGTCTCAGCCCGTGTTTGGCAGGTCCTTACATCCACCATAGCCATGACCTCCATCTTCCTCCACCTCTGACAGGTCTGGGCTATGGCGGACTACTAAGGGCCTTGCCCAATGTTCAAAAGACAATTCAAAAGCAGCTATGTCCTCCTCTTCAGGCCGCCATGCCTGACTCTGCCTGACTCTGCCTTGAAGCCTTCTTTGATATCGAGCATTTTTTAAAAGTCAGTGTTTTGTGTTTCATGTGGCATTTTTCCTTCTGTTGCGCACTTTTGTGTACTGCTTGTGCAGCCCACGAAATTGCGGATGTAGTTCAGTTCTTCTTTGCTTTACCCTGTAGCTTCCAGGATAGCAGTTGATAGCAGGGCTGGTTCCATTTTGGGGAGGGCATACACCTGCACTGGAATTGAGGACCACTGGATGGGACACCATCTAGTTTTAGGCCATGCTATCGACATAAACACTGGTGATGCACTCATCCACGACCAACCTGATATGTGATCTTGTCAATTACTGTCACGTTATTATGCTTGTCTGGTTTCTCTGTAGCAGTCCTTCGCTTTTCCCCTTTCTCCATCCTCAGCCCACCCTTACTCTTCTCAGCCAAATCGAATGTGTAATGGCTGTGATCATCATTCATTGGTGCCATTGGATGATGTGATTTTAGGGAACGTTACTAGGTGCCAATATGCTGAAAGTTTCCTGACATTTTTTATGAATCCTTTACTTGGCTGCAGTTCCAAGACATGGTCAAAGACTTCAGCCTTCAGATAATGGAATTACAGAAAGAGGCTGATTCGCTCAGGACTATGCTCAAAGGGGAAGAGGTTCAGGAAAAACATTTGCAGCAGAAGCTGATCGAGGCTGAGCAACGACTGGCAGAGACTGCCACTCTTCTGGAAAATGAATCGAAGATGAGGCTTCAGCTTGAAGGAATGAGAACATCGTTGGAGATGGAAGTTGCTTCTTTGCACTCTCAGGTAGAGAATGTCAAGGCTGAAGAGAAAGCACAGGTGGAAGAAATGCGGAATCAGATGGAGGAGTTGTTTCACCAGATTGAGGAGCAGGGAAAAGCCATGGAAAACGAAAGACATCAAAGCGACCTGCGTATCAGAGACCTGGAAGAAGCATATAATCAGTCCAAACAGGAGGCTTTGGAGGCTGCCAGGGCCCTGGCAATTGAGAAGGAGAAGAGTAAGGGAATACAGAATCGTCTGGAGTCAGTACAGGAGGAACTGAGGGACACTGTCATGGCGTTTTCAAAAGAGAAAGAGAACATGGAGGAAAAGATACGCAGCTTGACAGCGCAGCTTCAGAGTGCATCCTCTGCTGGTGCTGAAGGAGAAGCTGCAATTCAAGAGATGATGATGCAGCTAAGAGATGCAAAGGTTAGCGAAGAAGAGGCTAAGTCCATCCTAAAGAAAACTGAGGCTGATCTGGAAAAGGACAAGATGGAAAGGGAACAGTTGACTGCGAAGATGACAATGCAGGTGAGGAGCGCAAAGGCTGCTGAAGAAGAGGCGAAGGCCATCCTTAAGAAAACACAGGCTGATCTGGAAAAGGAGAAGGTTGAAAGGGCACAGTTGGCTGAGAAGATCAAGAACATGGAGGAGCTGATGAAGGTGGCAGAAAAAACGGAGAAAAAAGCTGTTCAGGGTGTGGCATCCAGATCTGAGGGTAAGGTAGAAGATGGAGCAAGTGATGAATACGAGTCTAGACTTTCGGATTTAAGGATGCAATTGGAACTAACGACAGCAAGAGTGGACGAGAAAATGCTGATGCTTGAAAAAGAGAGGGAACTGGCAAAGAAAAAGGAGACTGAGTTCCAATTGAAGGAGAAAGAGTTCAAGGAGAAGCTAACGGAGTCAGAGAAACGTGTTGCAGAGTTGAAGTCGCTGATGGAAACTGGGAAGGAGGAAGGAGAAAACCGAGTCAAGAAGCTGGCGGAGAAGCTGACTTTGGCTAAGAAGAAAACCACTGAGACTGTTGGCCTCCTTGGTCAAAGGTCTCGGGAGGGTAGGGCCACTGATGAATTGAGTGCAAAATTGGAGGCATCGCAGAACAGGGTTCGTGAACTTCAGAGACAGCTTGCTGTGGAGACAAGTGCACTGGAGGCCAAGTATGAAGAAGCCCGGGTGAAGCTGCGGGAAGCAGAGGAGAGGGTTGAGAAAGAGAGAGAGCAATACCAGGCTCAGATGGCAGAAATGAAAGAGAAGTATGAGATACAATTGAATGACATGAAGGCAGAGAGGAGGGCAGCGAAGATGCCAGCATTACTTGCACGTGACAGGCCCTTGATGGAGGACCAGGCAGGGGAGGTGAAGGTTTTCCCTTTGCCAAAGAAGATACCTGATTTGAGGAGGAGTGTTGATACACTGGGTGGTGGTAGTGGTGAGAGGGAGGTCACAAGGCGAGGGTTAAGGGGGGAGGATTTCACATTCGGTGTGGATGGACTTCTGAGCTGTTCTGATGACCGGTTGCAGCTGAAGTTGGAGGAAGCAAGACGGAGAGCTGAATCTACGGAGTCTCCCACAAGGGCTACTACATTAGGTTCAACCCCTGTTGACAAGGGCAGCAATACGAAGATAAAGGAACTAAAGCAAACGAAGGAGACAGATGACAACGAGAAAAGAACTGTTACTGAACATCAGGCGTTAGTTGAGGAGCTTAAGGACAAGCTCGGTGCAGCAGAAGAGAGTTTGGCAAAAATGCAGGAAGAAAAGTCAAAGATGGGGAAAGAAATATCTGAGCTGACGGAAAAGGTTGAAGAGGCTGAGGCGAAGGTGGCTAAGATGACATCCAGACTTGAACTTGCTGAGAGCTGGATGGTGAAGGATGCACAAGGCAATCTTCTCGTCCCAAGAGATGTGGAAAGAAAGCTTGTCATGGAGCTCAAAGCACGACTCATGGAAGCAGAAAAGCGAGCAGAAGAAGTGGCACGTTCACTTTCGAATACCAAGGTACGAGTGTAGACAATCACAAATACCAAGTGTGTCTCTCATTACGTTAATAAGTCATGTTAATAATGTGCAAACCTCTTTGCACAAGGAAAAGAAAAAGCTTTAGGCCTCAGTGGCCCTAAGTGAAGGCCACCCAGCAGAATTGATTCCAGCCCTAACAGAAGGCCGGGCCTGAGGCAAACTGGGCCCCAATGCACGCCACCAAGGTAACTACCCAGTAGGCCTCAGTCGAGACCCAGACTGGGCAGGTTTGTGGGCCAGGATCCTGGTCTGTAGAGACTGCCTACCGGTAGGCCCAGACCTTAGCCTCAGAAGAGACAAAAGGAAGGAGGCTGAGGGCAGACACATATTGGGCGCCGGCAGTAGCATGTGATAGTGCGAGGATCTTACCCCTCGGCATACCGGCATAAGCCCCCTGCAGCGAACGCGTGGCCGCCCTAAATGAAGGTGGGCCCCTGAGTCTCAATGAGCCCTGAATTCGTCAATTTTTGCAAATCTTGTTGGGTGCCAGACAGTTGCCACGCACCAGTTGGTTACGTCCGCCTTGCTTGTGAGAATCAAAAATATTTGTGATCCTTCCAGGCTCTTCCAGCAACGTGGTGAAAGCGGGGTACACCGCACATTTGTGCCTGGGTGGTTGGGCATGCCTAACCAATTCGGTCCCAGGCCACTGTCTGAACGGGCCTGGGCGCAGACAGTTTGGCCGAGAGTGAAGCTACTGGAAACACGGTCCCGATGGGGGACGAGCAGGCAGTGCGCCCGCACTTTCGATATAGGAAAGTGCAGGGTGCCGAGGGAGACATTCGAGCACCTGGTATCGCGTGCGGCAGCGATGCTGGAGCAAGCGCTCGCGGATGCTGGCCGTGCACTAGCGCAGGTGATCGGGCGCACGCGGGTGTTGTGAAGAGTAGGGCGCTGCAGCAAGGCAGCTCCATAGCTGGGCCCCATAGCTGGGCCAGCTTGGACAAGGTCAGCGGAGCTGGTGGTGGTCTTCGTCTTGGAAGAAGAAGATGTGGGTGACGAAAACGAGGGAGAGAGAGAGAGGATGAGGATGTGAGGGCACGTACCTGGTCTTGGCGATGGCCTACAGGGTTTTATCTCCCTGTTAGTTCGGTTGTTGCTGCTGATGTCAACAGGTTGCATTGTCAATTCATAGGCTGATCGTAGTCTGGGCGCTGAGCGCCAAGTAGGAGGAAGGGCTCTGGGTACATACGCTGGTGGCGGCGAGAGTGTGCTCTCATTGACATTTGGATTCAGTGCTTCGGTTCTCCATTGGTGGAATATCAGTGCATATCTGCTTTCTGGACAGCGTTTGACTCTCTGGCTTTCAATGTGATTTTGCATTATGGAATTCTGTCATTTTGATATCACACATTTTCCTTGCAATTTGGAATCGGAGCTGGTTGGAGCCACGCCGATGGCTCCTTCGCAATAGCTGTTTGGTGCTTCGCTAATAGGGGGGGCAGTGATAATGCTTGTGCATTGGGTTGTGTTGGCGGCCCAGTGTTGTGTGGTTGCGCCACAAAGGCTATGTAGTGACGTAGGGGTGCACGCTGGATGATCAGAGCTCGCTGTTGTGGCATTTAAGCCGAGGTGGAACTGCATTGTATTGTGGGTGTGCCAATGCATTGACCGGTCATCGCAAATGCACGTCAGGGTACTGGTGAGAAATCTGTGGTTGGGGGCTGCATTGTGAGGTACGTTGCTCTCTACCTTATCTACCCTCTTCGTTGCTTTTGAGTCTTGTCCTGAGAGTCCTCTCATTGTGAGGTGTCACAAGCGCTCAATCTTGAGAGTGGACATTCTTCCTGGGGAGCAAGCTGGTGGGAGACGGGCGTTGGACGAAGCACTCGGGTCACGGTCACCATGCCAACCAGCTGGGACTAGTACACGCATGCTTTGCCGCTTGTCCTTTGGTCTGCTTGCTGTGCTGTAGAGTTTATGTCGGGCAGGCCAGCCCTATGAGGGAGAGACGAGTATCGGACCGTCTATAAAGAGACTCTGACTGGGATACACTTGTGGCATGCAATCTGAACTAGTGTCCTCGTTGGGCTACATGTGGCATGCAATCTGAACTAGTGTCCTCGTTGGGACCTTCACCCCAGGGCTACATGTGGCATGCAATCTGAACTAGTGTCCTCGTTGGGACCTATGGCAGCGTGGCACCCAACTGCTTGATAAATAAGATTTAAATATACGGTCCAGATTTATCAGGAAGCAGTCAAGCGGTAATAACAGATAGTTTCAGACCCCTGCGAACAATTCTATTCCTACTTTCGACTAATCTGAAACAGATGCTTGCAGCAAGAATAAACAACTACTCTATCTGCAACAGTCTGTTAGCTGTTAGCAGTCCGTCACAGCTAACTAATCGAAAATAAAAATAAAACCGTTTGTTGAAACTTGAAATGGATGCTGAATGGAAATACTACAATATTGAGCATTCGTGCCATTCGAGCAATTACTGGAATCTTCCCTCCCCCCGTATCCCTCTTGAGTAGTCACTTTGTGTCGACATCTGTAGCTCTGGTTCAGACGGCGTGCCTAAAGGTGTGCAATCCAGCCCAGCCCTTTGCCCCAAGTCTATGCTAAGTCTGCCAGCCCTGCATCTTCTTTATCCTCGCAACGAGCCTTACTTCCGGTTGATCTGGCTGATCACAGCCCGGATCCAACAGGAATCCGCCAGAAATATTTATAGACGGTCTGGTGAGCGCCTCTTATACGGCTGGCATGCCCAGCATGACCTCTATTGCGCAGGAAGCAGGACCAAGGACTTGCGGCAAAGCATGCATGTACTAGTCCCAGGGGGTTGGCATGGTGACCGTGACCCGAGTGCTTCGTCCAGGGCCCTTCATAGGCTTTTGCAGATAGGTTAGGTAGGATCTGCCATTTGTAGATAGGCTAGATAGGATCTGCCATTGTAGATAGGCAAGATAGGATCTGCCATTTGTAGTCTGGGCGCAGAGCGCCAGATAGGAAGTCGACATTGGTTCTTTGTTGATGATGATGAGACTATTCCAACATTGTCATTTGTGAGCTTTTGCTGTGCTCTTATTTGGTGGAACTCGAGTTGCAATTCTGATTTTGGTCCGAGGTCACGACTATCTGGTTTCATGTGTATGATGCTGCTTGGTTTCTGGAATTTGCTATCGCTCATTTTCCTTGCACCTGCATTGTGTGGGATAGAAAGAGGGACACTGGACCTGGTTTCCATCTTCTCAGTTTTGGGGATAAACGGATGCAAAAGGAAAATAAGAGAAAGAAAGAACTATAAAGAAGACAGAAGGGGAAAGCTTGATGGGGGGGGGGAAAGGGGAAGGATTGCCTCGCAAAGGGCTGATCAAGGACCCAAACTACTCTCAAGGACGAGTACCACAACTGAGCATTTCGTTAAAGTGTTTAAATAAATCCGCAAACTAGATGCTGGAACAGGTGACTGTCAGCTCTGGATTGTCTAATGAAACCATCTAGCCAGGTCTGGGTCATACTTTGGAAAACGGTGTGCTGTTGACAGAGAGGCCTGATAAGATTGTGGAATTTGAATAATACTCAGAAATATGGCAGGATGCCTGGCTCACCTACCTGACCTGCAAGGTCTACAACTAGCACAGGCACAACCCCCCAGGAATGACCATCATCTTTGCGTACTGCACACCGGAAAGCTGTGCTGATGCTACGGCAAGACTTTTGTACTGCTTTTGCTGATTTGTCAGGCTTGCTTTCTGAATGTTCCAGGCGTCCAATGTGAGGAAGATGGAGGAAATGAAGGTAATGCTGGAGGCAGCAGAGAGGCAGGCAAGTGAGAGCATGGATGCCAATGAAGCAAGCACCAAGTTGATTGCAGAACTCCAGTCGAAGCTCCATTTAGTGGAGACGCAGCTGAAGGAGATGACTCTTGCAAAGGATGCCTCGCTGAGACAAGTGGAAGAAATGAAGCAAAAGCTAACAGAGAGGGTGAAGCAGCTTGAACAGGTCAAGCAAAAATTGGAGGAGGTGGAGATACTACGCACGAAGGAGGCAAAGGACTATAGAGGGAAGCTGGATGCCCTAGAGAGGAAAGGTGTAACAAGAGCACAAGTACCTGGAAAATTACAGGAGTTTCCAAGGAGATCGAACCTGAATATGGATAATGAGCGGGGCGAGAAAAAGGATGTAAATTGTAGCAGTGGGGGCAAAGGACTGAAAGTCCCAAGCAGTGCTGAGAATGGTGATGAAGGGATCAAGGATGTAGCCATGGTGCCATCGGGAGCTGGCATGGAAGGGTCGTTCAGAGATCCTGATTGGGAAATCCAAGACTTGAGAGTCCGGTTGCAGGAGGTTGAGAGGCTTTCTGAGGTGCGAGTGGCGGGATTGGTGGCCGAAAGGGATGCATCACTGTCACAGGTGTCTGAGTTGACAGCACGCATCAGGGACATGATGCGAGCTCTGGACACACTGGGAATAACTGCAGAACAGATCATGCAGGTATGCTGGTCACCTGCCCCTTACCCCACTCCGTCATATTCTTTTTCGTTTCACAGCATCGTTTCTAGTTCGGGGAATCCTGGATCTGGCGTACATGTGCGTTTGGGGGTGGGAGACGAGGGGTGGAAGGTCATGTTTGACACTCCGCGGCATGCTGTGAGCGAAATATAACAGAACTGGCTGCAAGAGACTACTTTGTTCGATTCCAGTGTGCTCATCACATGGTTTACGTCTGATAGTCCCGACAGTATTGATTCAGTGCTTGCCTACGGCTGTGAGCACCTGTGTGATGCCCGAGACACTTTTCAGAAAAGCATCCAGGTCCTTCCCTCCCTATGTGCTACTTGTCAGAAGTAGAGGGACTCGTTGCCTGCGACAGACTTCAGGACTACGACATAGGATGCTTCGGTCTCAATCTGACCTGCTTGGTGCAGAAACCCCATCAGATGGCAGGACTCAAAACAGAGCGGGCAGAGCAAAACGGATTCGACATGGGCTCTCTCTTTGGAAGCACAGCTTTGTAGTCGGGATGCCAGACCACAGGGCAATGCAACCTTCCATGTGAATCTAGCACATGCAGGTTGCTCATTTCCGGAGCTCTATATTGTTCAGCACGCGTCAGATCCTCATTGTTATTTCAGTCCTTGAACGACAGTCACTGCCTCGTAAGCTAGTTTCTTGTGCCTGTTGACTTTCCTGACCCTGAAGCACTGAGCCTTAGGTCCAGGCCTACCAGATCACAACAGGGGGCCAACAATATGTGCTCTATTCCTGCAAGAATGTGTTTTTGGCTGGCGTTGCTTTGTGTGATTATTGACATTCTTCCCTACATATACCTGTTGACTTTCCTGACCCTGAAGCACTGATCCTTAGGTCCAGGCCTACCAGGTCACAACAGGGGGCCAACAATATGTGTTCCATTCCTGCCAGAATGTGTTTATGGCAGGCATTGCTTTGTGCGATTATTGACATTCTTCCCTGCATATACAACAATCAAAGATTCTCATGCCTTTCGCCCATGCCGGATACACCATCCTGCCCCCAACCAACTGTGTATACCACGGCAGGCTTCGGTTTGCATCAGGGACATTGGTGGTTTGGCTGGCGTTGCTTTGTGTGATTGTTGACATTCTTCCCTACATATACCTGTCGACTTTCCTGACCCAGAAGCATTGAGCCTCAGGTCCAGGCGTACCAGATCACAACAGGGGGCCAACAATGTGTGCTCTATTCCTGCAAGAATGTGGTTTTGGCTGTTGTTGCTTTGTGTGATTATTGACATTCTTCCCTGCATATACAACAATCAAAGTTTCTCATGCCCTTCGCCCATGCCTGATACACCATCCTGCCCGCAACCAACTGTGTATACCACGGCAGGCTTCGGTTTGCATCAGGGACATTGGTGGTTTGACTCTCTGAAGATAAGAATCAAAGCTGACCATAGACGAGAGGTATCCTTCTCTGTGAAAGCCATACCTCACTGGCATTCAATTATGTACTTTGAATATTATTATGTGAAGGTCGTAATACAAGAGTGAAGAGAAGCGTCGCGACTCATTCAACCTCCGAACTACTCCTGTTGCCTCAGTTCATTTTGCTCCCAACTTTGTACCTCTCCCATCTCTCCCCCCTACCCCTCTCCCAAAGAAGTATCCTCAATTGTCCCTCTTCTTTTCTTGGATTTTCCTGTGCTTGTTTTTCCGTCTTGTGACCTGTTTTACATTATCCTACTGCTTGCTCCCCTGGTCCCTCCTTTCCCCCCCCCCGTCGTCCCCCCTTCCTCCCCTCCCACTACTGGAGTCTTCTTACCTCATTCCCCTGGTTACCCATCCACCCCTCCTTACCTCCCTCCCCCTCCCTACCTCATCACCCCATTTGTACACCCCCTCCCACTTGTCCACCCTCCCTCCCTTTTCTCCTTTCTGTCCCTTACCTCCCTCCCCTCCCATCTCTCCGTCCTCCCTGTCTCCTCCCTTCCCTCAGTTCTTGGCAGTCTTGAGGTGGCTGTGCTAACGTTCGCAGAATATTGCTCCATATGTGCTGGCAGGTGGGAGGTGAAAAACCGCTCTTCGACCGTTCAGATTCTATGGAAAGCCGCACTCGGAGGCGAACTGCAGTCCGTGACAGCAGGAGGAAGAGGTCACACACCCACAGCCGCACTTTCCAACCCCCCAACCAACCTGCACGGAGAGTAGCTGCTATAGCCTTGTCTGCGGCAGTTGCTGCATTTGCATTCGGATCGAAAGTGATCTCACGCCGCTGAACATATATGCTTAAGTGAAGCATTGAGAGTGGCTGACGATCAGGTGAACGAGGGCTTCAGAAATGGGTCTCTATACCTACAGGCTTTCGGCTGCAGTTGCTGGCCCTCCTGTGCCCAATTAGTTGACAAGACCTGTGCCCACCTACTTGACAAGACTGGGTGTACTTCTATAAGAAAGCCTCTGCGGAGTGGTCCTCGGGAAGGTTCGATGGATTAGATGCAGCCTCTGGGGAGTGCAAGTCATGGGACATGTATGGTCTTCATTATGCCTTTGGCCATCGTGTGGACCCTGGACTCTCGCCATCTTTCATTGATGGCTCTATACCCTCAAGAGTTTGCTCTTGTTGCCTTCCCTAGCCTGCTGTTCAAGTTTGTAAGGTTTTGTGCACTCCCAGAGCAAGCCTGTGAGGAACGGTCCTCGAAAATGGTTATTGGACTAGAGGACAGGTTGTTCCAGTATAACAGGATCAAGGACAGGTTACTGCATGTCACTCGCCAAGATCACAAGTTGCTATAGGTTTAGTCAACTGGTTCGGTCCGGTTGGATGGCCGGAAAGGTTCGTATCGCCTCAGCCTACTTCTGGTCACCCATGAGAGAGGTCCTTTGATGCAAATCCATGAAGTTTGTGCAGGCCAAACAACTTCACAATGCGTGGAGCTTGGGCTGGGCTGTCTAGGTCAGCTTCTGCACTCAAGTGATTTTCAAGAGAGTAACAATGCCATCACATAGAGGCTTGAACCGGGCGGCTCCCATGGTGGTTCTATCATTAACGGAACTGCTTACAAGGCGCCTGAGTCTCGAATGGTGCGCTGACACTCGATGCTCAAACGTGCTTGCGTGGTCCGAATTGAGTGCTTTCATGGCCTCTTCGCTTTATGGCATTTGATGACTGTGCCCACCTCGGGCACTTTCCTCCATGTAATTTATTCACCCGTTCCATTCCTTCCCTCCCCCTCCCTGTCGCCAAGATGACAGGTGCTCTTCTCGTTCTTCGCCTCCGTTCTCGTTGCCCCGGCACGATGGTACTGCATTTTACTGATTTTTTTTTTGACGGGGGTGTGGCCCGCTGTGTGATTGCCCGTCCGTCTCTCTTGATCCCTTCATCTGTCTTGATTTCTTCAGGAAAGTATCCCAAGTCTCAGGGACCAAATGCACTGGTCTAATGCGCTGCCAATAAGCGAAAGCTGGCATGTTTGGAGGTTCAGGTTGCAGTGATGCACTGGTGGTCACGGTGAACATGTTGGCCTGTCTGGAGGTGATTTGTCACGGTTCTGCCTCAGTGATGGCAGTAAATTTGAGGTCGGTCTTCTGCTGGGAATGTGTGGTGGTTGCTCTCCATGCCTGCACAATAGGGAAGGGTATGGTCTGTGTTCCACATTACCGGCGCCTGGGCCGCATATGGATTTTGATGAAGTGCCTACAGTCGCGCTCGATCTGCAGGATGTCATCGTATATTGTTGGATCATCGCTGTCCAACAAGTTTGTGAAGTTGTTTTGCCGCTTGCGTGGGTATTTTGCTTTCCTTGTGTCCACTGATGTCTGATGAATTCCTGTTGTGAGGTTCTTAAGAGATAGGGAAGGAAAGGGTAGTGAGAAAGATGGGAAAGAAAAAGTTTTTTTTTTTTTTCCCTTGAAGTACTTTTGTCACTTTTGCCCGGCACATGTCAGGAGGGTGCCTTGCGGCACGGTCCACTGTCAAGACCCGAGGACGGGGGCGTTGTGGCTGGTTGGCGGAGATGAGAAGCGAAAGTGGTTTTCTCCCTGTTTTCGTCTCTCGCACGCCAATTTTCAGTGCGATTAACACGACATACTTGTTATATTGAGTTGTTGGTAATCCCTCTGCTCGGTGCATCCATGTGCTCATGAGATCTGCTCGGTGCATCCATGTGCGCATGAGATTTATGTACTTCTGGTGGATAGATCTTTCTTGTGCCATATAGTGAGTGAGCCATCGGCGTAAGGAGGACAGTGGTAGAGAAACTTGCAAAATGGATTTTGTACAATGTCCAGTGTCCTCTGCACAGAAGCACAGACACACACAAACAGGGGGAGGGGTATCTGTATGTGTGAAAGACAGAGAGGGAAGGAGGGAGGCAAGGAGGGAGGCAAGGAGGGAGGCAAGGAGGGAGGGAGTCAGTGCAGCTAATCATTGTTGTAGCTCGCGTACTCACAAGATGGCAAGGGACTAAGTGGCAGGTAGATCCAGTGCAGCAGTGAATGTTGGTAGTGGTTTAGACTTCAGAGACTGTTGGGTTTTCTGTTCAGTTGTCAATGACTGTTCTCAGCCAAAGCTGTATTGTCTTCAGTGGCGCTTGGGATTCATTTTCAGCGGCGTTGCAGTTTTGCAAATGACAATTGGTCCTGCATTGTCTGAACACCGGCGGATTTGGCAGCAGATTGCTTGCTCAGATCCTTTTTTTTCCCAATCAGGATTCCTTGCGCAGGGACTGGGAAGGAGAGGGCTCGGACCTGCAATAAACAGTTGTGTTCTTCTGTTGATGAAGCCAGACACTCCCGTTTCAGTTTTGTGAATGATAATCCGTCCAGCACATTGTCCGTACAAGCTCGAGAAAAGTGAAGTTGGTGGCAAATTGTTTGCTGAACTTTGCTCAGATATTTTTTGCCTCGTCGGAACTTCTGGACGTTGGAAAGGAGGAGGCTTGACCCTGCGACAAATTGCCCGCGCACATGAACATGTTCTTCTGTCGGTGAAGCCCGCTACTCCCCTGGCAAGTCATCATTTGAGAATTGAGAATCAGTGGATAGTTCTGCAAATCCTGCAGCAGCAGATTTTTTTTGATGAGATCGTGGTTAGGCAAGATCTACTTTGAAACTTTGATTAAGAAACGACTCAATGCACTTATGTAAGTGCATACACTTGTGTGCACGGCGGCCGCTCACCGCTACAGCAGTTTGCAATCGATTACTGAATAACTATCTGGATTGTGCTCTTGCTGTCGCAGTGTTCTTGATGTGAAACAGTTTGTTCCTCACGTCGAGCAGTACATGGCACAAGTCAGGAATCGAGAGAGATGCAAGGTTCGTACAAGTCTGTGCAAGCTTTGACGCTTGCATCAGAATGCAAAGGTGCGTTGATTCGGAAAAAAAAAACACTGCCAAATAAGGTAGCAAGTTTTTTTTTTTTTTTTTTTTTTTAATGTCTCGTTTCCTCCTCCTGGTGAACTGGTGATCCTGAGGAGTCAGGCTACCTCACGGCAATATCGTGAGAAAATAGATAGTGTGAACGAGTTGGACGAAACTCCGAAAAGCTTGGTTGCATCACGCACAGCAAGTGAGCTTTTGTGCGTAAGATAGTGCAAACAAGGTGGGAGTGTAGTATAAATGAACGTCAAGATGCTCTGCGAAGCCGAGGGAATGTGCAGTCTTCTTCAATTGAATCTTCATCCATTTCCGCTAGATACGTCCGGGAAGGCCCGAAGGTGAGTATGACCTGGCTCACATCGCAATAAGTTCTGTTCAACAAGCAGCTGCGTTGGAATTCTGTTTGTCAAGTCTTTGGAGAACACACTAATGTATTGGATTCCGGATGAGTTGTTGTGCCATGATTTGTCAATTGCTAACTTTAATCTTGTATGCAAACAGTCTCTTCCTTTGACTAGAAAGTCGAATATTTGGTTGATGTGATGCTTCGTGTGGAGAAAGCCACACACATTCTCTTATTTCCTATGTGCCTATAATTGAAGCTAAATCACGAACGGTGTAATTTTAATTCAGCCGTAAGTGGCATTAAAGCCACTGACCACGCACGCATACCAGCCAGCAGGTGGGTGGGAGAATATCAGTTGCTCTGCTGGCCTGTGAGTTTGGGCCGGTTAGTGGTCTCATTTTCAGACATTTGAAAATGGGCCCTTGGTGAGGAGGTATCGCCGCCTGGAACTGGCCTGAGCACAAATTTTGGGTTTGGCTTCTGGACGGAGTGATGGCAGGTAGAAAAAAAACTCACTACAAAGAACATAAAGAACCGTGCACACCGATTTCTCATTGATGGCTATATAAGCCTCATATATATCGGAATGACCAAACTTCAAAACCATCTCGCAGCACACTTCACCACCAAAGAGTTGGGAACTAAAACACGAGATACTGTCTCTTATACACATCTAGATGTGTATAAGAGACAGCTCTCTCTCTCTGCCACTTGGATCTATCTGAGTACACCTGCGTCACCCTTGACCTTTGGCCTCCATGGCTATCGCTGCCTTCTTCCCCGTCTACTCCCTGGCTATGGTAACTCAAGTGCCATCTTCACCCTCTGGCGCACGCCGCCGACGTCAAACTATCGCACAAGCGTCCAGCAGTGCTTCTGCAATGTGCGAATGAAGAACTGAACTGCATTAGGTACTGTAGCAGCTATAAATAGGACTTTCTGACTTGTGTTGCCTGCTTTGGACCGGTTCCAGTCGCCTACAGCCTGCCTGCTGCACGTTTGGTCGTTTTTGAAGTCTCCAGATTTTCTTTGGAGGCTGCTTGGGACTGACTTTTCTTGTTGGTGAAAGGCCTTCCACAGTTCAGACCCCAAATTCGAGTTTCAGGGTCAGAAGGCCCTGGCCAAGAAAGGCCGAGTCAGTCAGTTTCAGGAAAGTC